TGTAAGTATGCTGCTCTTGCTTTGCCGATCCGCGCCTTCACATCTGCATCAGATCCACCCTGTTCATCAATTATGCTGTCCAGATATGTAAAGGTACTTACATCTTTCAAATAGTCTCCATCAATTGTGAGTGGATTGGTGCATTCTGTGTTGTATCGGAGAATCCTGCTTTTCCCTTTGTGTATATTGAGACCTATTGCAGCTGAGGCTGCTGCTACACTGGTCATCTTCTCCTGCATTTGTTGTCGCGTTTGAGATAGAAGGGCCAGATAATCTGTAAAGTCCAGATCGTCTGACTGTATCCTAGATGTCCACTGTATCCCGTGTTTCCCTTCAGATGTTGATGTCTTCATGATCCAGTCGATCACCAGGAGAAAGAGGAAGGGTGAGAGTAAGCAACCTTGCCTAACACCGGTCTTCACCGGTCTTCACGCCTTTGTCAACTGTCCTCCATGCACATGTTTGCAGTGTAATCCATCATAGGAATTCTGTATGATATTGATCATCTTCTGAGGCACGCCGTAGTGTCGAAGAAGCTTCCATAGTGTTGTTCTGTTCACGCTATCAAATGCTTTTTCGTAGTCAATGAAGTTGATGTAGAATGATGAGTTCCATTCAATTGATTGTTCCACAAGGATCCGTAGTGTTGCGATTTGGTCTGTACACGATCTATCCTTACGGAATCCTGCCTGTCGGTCACGAAGTTGGGCGTCTACGCAGTCCTTCATCCTGTTTAACAATACCCTGTTGAAGACTTTTCCCGGTATTGAGAGAAGAGTGATGCCCCTGTAGTTATTACACTTGCTGAGATCGCCTTTTTTCGGTATTTTGATTAGAAGTTCTTCTTTCCAGTCTGTTGGTACTTGTTCCTCATCCCAAATCTTATTGAAGAGAATGTGGAGTATCTTTGCAGTTGCCGTTACGTCTGCTTTAAGTGCCTCTGCTGGAATGTTGTCTGGTCCTGCTGCTTTGCCACTCTTGATTTGTTTGATGGCCATGTTGATTTCTTCAATTGTTGGTGGGACAACATCGATTGCGAGGTCCGTGGGTGCTGCTTCGATGTTGGGTGGGTTCAGTGGGGCTGGTCGATCCAAGAGCTCTTTGAAGTGTTCTAACCACCTGTTTTGTTGCTCTTCAATGTTGGTGATTACCTCGCCTTCCTTGCTTTTCACTGGTCGTTCTGGTTTACGATCATTTCCGGCGAGTCTCTTTGTTGTGTCATACAATTGTCTCATGTTTCTTTCCCTTGCAGCCTTTTCCGCCATCGTTGCTAACTCTTCCACATATTTACGTTTGTCGGTTCTGATGCTCCTCTTCACCTGCCTGTTTACTTCTGTGTATTCATCTTGTGCCTTGGCTTTCTCTGCTCTTGTTCGGATAGTATTGATTGTTGCCTTCTTTTTCCTCCTTTCTTGAATCTTATCCAGTGTATCAACGGTGATCTATTCCTTGTGAGGATACTTCTTGTGGCCAAAAACCTCGTGACATGTTGAAGTGATTATTTACTTGATCCCTTCCAAGTTCTTCTCCATGGTAGTTCCCTCTCCATTGAGTAGACCGTGAAAGACCTGGAATCTATTGCTGAGGGCTATCTTGAATTCATTGAGTCTGTCAATATCCTGAGGAAATGTCGTATTAAACTTTTGTGATGTTGTCCTCCCCGTTGTGCAGTGCTTCTTGAGTTTCAATTTCATCTTGGCGACTAGCAAGTGATGATCTGATGCTATATCAGCTCCTCTCTTGGTTCTCATATCTTCCATCGTCCTCCCGAACTTTTTGTTGATGCAAATATGGTCGATTTGGTTTTGCGTAGTGTGATCCGATGAAGTCCATGTGGTTTTGTGAATGCATTTATGTGGGAATATAGTGCCGCCTATGACCAGTTTATTGAAGGCACATAAGTTTGCAAATCTCTCACCATTTTCGTTCCTTTCTCCCAGTCCATGTCGTCCCTTGATGTCTTCATATCCGGTGTTGTCCATTCCAACCTTGGCCTTGAAATCTCCTATCAGAATCGTCAGGTCCTTTGTCGGGCACATCTTTACGATTGACTGCAGCTTAGCGTCTTCATTGTAGTCGTTGATAGGCGCATAGCGTTGGATGATGTTCATTGAAATGCCCTCTTTCTTTGTTTTGAAAGAGGTTTTAATGATCCTTGGTCCATGAGATTCCCATCCTATAAGTGCATTTTTTGCTTGTTTGAACAGCATCAATGCGACTCCTTGTGTATCTGGAGCATTTTCTTCTTCATGGCCGGAGTATAACAGAAGCTCTTCTGAAGTTAGTCGTTGTTGTCCAACTTGCTTCCGATGTGTTTCACTGATCCCAAGCACCTCTAGGTTGTATCTCCTCATTTCTGCAGCAATTCGGAAGGCTCTCCCGGTGTCTCACATTGTACGAGCATTCCATGTACCTAAATAAATGGTTGCTCTGGTTGTCAGAAGGGGCATCGGCCTCGTAACTTCCGAAGGAATTCTGCTTTCATCATGAAGCATCATAGTTCTTCTAAATGAAGACCTTCTGACTCTCAGGGCAGAGTTTAGAAGGTTTGAATAATTTTTCCTGGTTAGCGTTTTTTTAGCGAGTTAGTTTTCTACGGGATGGGGACACTAACCCCATGCCCAACCCTCCCCATTTATCCGGGCGTGGGACTGGCAGTAGCCCCTGGAGGGACTCCAGGCGGAGTTTCTTTAGGAATCCATCAGACTGTTATTTATTTTAGAAAGTTTTCTTAGACATTCTGTGAAATTTAGTATAGGTACACATTGGTTAACTTATACTTTTTCAGTATATGTAGTCGTGTATAGATATCCATAGACGGGATAGAAAATCATAATAAGCCCAAGATGAAGTAAATATATCATTAAATAAGGTTAAGATAGATGAGTATTTGTGTTGAAAAACGTATATACCTCTAAGGTATTAAGAATAACTAACAAACAGAGAACGCCAATTGTTTTCCTCATTTTAATAGCTATTTCGATAAAACGTTTCAAACCTGATCTATGCGCATAGAAATCTGTGATAAACCTCTCCCTTCTGTGATAAATAGAATGGTAACCAAGTACTATTATCTTCAGCATAATAATATAATTGATGTTCATGCATCAAACACATTTCGACTTTATTTACACTGATTTACTATTATTTTCGATAATATTATGTAATCATTAATTATTTTATACTTTAATTGTTCATTGTAACCCTTCCCCCCTCTCTACGTAAAACAGTCAGTTGTTTTCAGCATACAAATACACATTATTCTTAATCTCATTTAATGTAATATATTTCCTGGTCTTTCACTTAATATAATTTTGTATACCATGTTAATCATTCATGTTAATTTCATTAAAGCAGGTGAAACCTTTGAATCAGTTTTCCTCTGTCAATCATATTCTTGCTGTGGTTAAATTTATCAAATAATCCAATTTTAAATGACATTATTTTATTGAACGTCTGATGAAAATGATTTCCACGGAAACACTATCCAATAATTAAATGAAGAATAACTTCAATTGAACGACTATAGACAATTGATATCTATTCATTATAATAATTTCAACTTCAATTATATTAATGATTACATTGTGACTTTGATTATGTATTCAGCATGATTTGATTTTACCAATTGTTCTTTCTACTTCTGTTTAAAACAACCATGAGTATAAATTCCGTGTGTACTCACGTGGTATTATAAGAGACTTACAACTTATTGTGATGTTAAATAATGGAAATCTTAAACCAACATGTTGCACTTGTTAATATATCCTCCTAGCCAACCGTGGATGAATATACTGGAATTCATCTATTCAATATGCCATGGGGGAGGAAAATTAATTGTATCACCCGAATTGACTATGAACTTTTGTTTGGACAATACTGATCATGGAGAAAACACTTATAGAATATAACTCTCAAATAATTACAATTTGGATGTTCATGAAAAAGTAATTACTTACAGTATTGCTCAACTGATGTTGAAAATCCCTAGCTGTAAGTTTGTTTTCAACTGTTGAGAATGAGGCAATTACCCACAGACGGCATTAGGTCATGTCGCTCTATGCAGTAAGGTGATTGAAGTTGGAAATATGTACCATTGATCCATACATAAACTGCTCATTTGGAGACCTGCATTCTGTGGATTTGATCCACCCAGTGAGTATGAGTGTATTATGTTGAGAAGTCGCAAACTAAAACGAAACAAATGTTGAATGTCCCCTGTTTTTTAGTGGTTTCCCCCTCATCTAGCTAGTATTAACTTATGAAGTAAAGCAACCACAATTCAAGCCAATCCTTACCACTAATCATTACATGAGCGTTATATCAACTGTTGCATCAAGTTTTAGAATTTTTACAGTAAATAAATTAGTTCAGAAGACTCAAGTTAGATTTTGATTAAAAACTATATTGGTTTAGCTTCATTTTAATTTTTTCTCCAAGTAAGTTGTCCATGAAAAATGGAATTTCACCTTTAATTTCTGAACAGCTTCAGGAATATTTTGTTTTTGGTACAGAGATGATCCGAAAACTATATTTCCTGACTAACTTTATGTTGTATCTTCTATCGCACATGATTTTATTCCTAAACTTATGTAGCAGAAGACGATAAGTTGAAAGTTCTGTGTCTAATTGATCTACAAGTTAATACCTTGAAATTATTACCTGAAACCTCATGGAAACCGATACGTTCCATGCGATTTAAGTTCATGTCACTTGGTGTGACAATTATACAGATTATCACAATAAGTCTATATATAGACAGTAAGGGCTAGAAAAAGATGACATTAGTAATTGGACAGTAATCATTTATTGTGAATATTTCAGTTATATATGAGAACTTATTCAAATTCTTTATACAACTGTATCCTATCCCTTCCTAATTAATGTTATTTGTTGACTAATAATAAGAAACAATAGAGAATAATTACTTATTAATTTAGTTGTTCGTATTAGAAAAGAATATTTTTAAATAGAATAATCTTGTAATCATGTTCATATAGTAGTAGTAGTAGTAGTAGTAGTAGTAGTAGTAGTAGTAGTAGTAGTAGTAGTACTACTACTACTACTACTACTACTACTACTACTACTACTACTACTACTACTACTACTACTACTACTACTACTACTACTACTACTACTACTACTACTAAATAGTTTCATCATTACAATTTACATTCGTAGTTCTTATTATAAATAAGATTACTATCATTTTTATTTAATTTACTTCCTACTGATCACTATTTTACACCCATGTTCTATGTTCATTTTATTTTGTTTTTTTTAATAGAATCAATTTTGATAGTATCTGGAACATTCAAAAAGAGTAATAGTAATTCTTTTATTTAAAACAATAGAAATATTCATTACCAATTTTAAAAAGAACACAATAGAATATCTTTGTATGGTGATATTTTCAAAATAGAATAAGATAGATTTCGGGGTGGATTTATCCGCAACGTTTCCATGTAAGCCTAATGTTTCACTCAGTGTAATAACGGTCATGTCTACGTTCATGTAATCATAGAATTTGTCATTTTATAATGTATTTTTTTATTAAATAACTAGATTATGCTGTAAATTTTGCTCTGGTCCAACTTCGTTACACTGTACGTTCATTGCATTCTGAGATGATATCCCAAGTCATTGTAAATTTAATCACATTGTTGATTGTTTCCAGATAGACCGACAGTGTATAATGTTACTGAAGAAAGGTTTTCTGTGCTGTAAACTATGTTTTTATGGACAACTGACTGTTGTCTTCAGTTTCAAAACAATATATATTTCCTTTGTCTTTTGCTAGGTAAGCTCGACTGGCCTATAGTTCGTGTTTTTGGCTTATCGGCTGAACAATGTTCATTTAACTACTTTGAGTAACATGACTGTGCAAATGAAACAATAATTATGACACTTGCTTAGTTTAGTATTCTTGGTTGTCATATAATTCAGTTTAGTCTATAGAATTATACTATGCTTAAGTATAGTGCTTGAACCCCGTAACGAAATAGATCAGTTTAGTAAGTAGAGGTGCCTGTTTTTAATGAGCATACTGATTCAAAGCAGTCTGATCAAAAATAGGAAAAAAATGCCTTTGGTACTGTTGATGTCATACATTATAATATAGCTTTAAGTATGTTTGGTGTTTATTTGTAGACTGTGCGTCTAGCACTGTCCATATTTTGTAAGGTTTTAGATAAACAGCAAAACACCAAAAATTTTAACTCATACATATTGATTTAAATAATGTGCGGAAACACGTACATAGGGAGGAGCAATCGTGATCATTGACTCAATAAGCATGGGTGAACATACCAAAATGGCTGCAAAAACAAATGAATTCCGATGGTCAAATGAGATCACAGGATAGACAGACATCATCCTCCATTGCGAAACATTTGATTGAATTTGATCATAAGGTTGACATCAAGTCAGCATTTGTAATGTTATACAAAAACCTTCAAGGACGTATACTAAGGTTTATTGAAACCGTGGCTATTGAAACCCCCTTTATGCGTTCAAAAACAATTTGTCCTTACACTTAACCTACCTTGGTAATTCTGATTTACTATCCAGAGTGGTAATCACGCTGTTTTTGTGTACTTTAATATTATTTTTCTCTTTGTTATGGCTTACCTTTAATCTATCTAGTTGACCTTTAATTTTCATATAAAAATGTCTTAACAAGTATATGCGTGATTAGATTGTTCGAAATGTATTGCGCAAATATATCACATAATTCTGATAAACTTCGTCTTCTCATTCCATTATCGAAATTTATCAAAGGGGCTAATTGTTTTAAAGTTAAGGAAATTAAAACAAACGATAATTATGTACAAAATGAATGAACAATTTAAAATGAAGTAATGAATTGATAAACATAATTTGTTTATATAAATTAAGTTATATTACTTATATTGATATCATCAATGAGTTTTCGATATTCATTTTTCGTTGTTGTTGTTGTTGTTGAATCGATCAAATTTCCTTATTCGGCTAAGAGATCGGTAGAGATTGTTTATATTGGAATATGTTTCCATTACTGACTGAGTGATGAATCGTCGGAATTTGACTGATTTGCAAACTGGTTTCATATTTAGCACAATATCTGAAAGTTTTCCATACGATTTCTAGTTGGGTAGCGAGTATGGGTATTTCTGCGGATATTCTAAGACTAGGCTAAAACAGAACTCCACTTGTAGCTCTTATAGGATCACTGCCGGTCCCGACCCCACACAAAAGAGGAGCGTTGGACACATAGTCGGCAACACTATCCCGGACAAAACAACATTACTTAAACAACGTTGACTAAAATAAACAATTTAAAACATTCAAACTTTTCCCTCTGACTTGAAGAATCTTCATTCAAAAGAATTATCACGCATCACGGTGAAAGTTGGTACTCTTCGAAAGTCAAGAGGCCGATGTCCCTTCTAACAACCAAAGCAACAATTAATATAGGTAAATGGAATGTTTGGACAATGTAGGAGACCAGGAGAACCAATCAAATAGCAGTGAAAATGAGGAGATACAACTTCAGGGTGCTCGAAATTAGTTAAAGATATTGGACTTAAGGTGGACAGAAAACGATAGATTTGGGAAGGATACTTCTGCACTTTGATCAGGGGTAAGAAAGCGCTCCACACACTCAGGTAGTCACTTTGATGCTGTCTAAAGAAGCACGTAATCTATTCACAGAATGAGAATCTTAAGGATCCAGAATCGTCAAAGCATCTTTCAAAACAAAAAGGAGGGAATCACAATCAATGTTATCCGATGTTATGCACTCACCAATGATGGTGACGACGACGATATAGATCAGTGAAGTGCCCACGAAACAACCTGACCATATTGATGCGAGACGTAAACGCCAAAGTCAGAATGGAGAACATCAGGTATGAAGATATCATGAGACTCATGGACTGATTGTGAGAAAGGAACAGAAACAAGAGATATGCGAATTTACATTTATTCAACAAAATGTTTATAGGTGGCATGATATTCTTCCACAAATGCATACACAAAGCTACATGAGTCTCATCGGATCACACTACACGGAACCACATCGATAATATTTGCATCAATAAAAATTCAGAAGTACAATGGAAGACGTAAGAACCATGAGAGGAGCTGACATAGCTTCTGATCATCGTCATCATCTGATGTTTGTTAAGCTGAAACTGAAGCTAAAGAAGAGATAGACAGGTGGAGAATCAGTATTACAAATGTTTAGTACAACGTTGCATTTAGATACTGACAAACCCAACGAATTCACGATAGCTCTCAATAATAGATTTCAAGCCTCACAGGATATACTGAAAGAAGAAGGAACTACTATAATGAACAGTTGTAAAGGGATCAAAGAAGTACTAGCCTCAACAAGTCAAGAGGTGCTGGGCCTCGTGAAGCATCATCATAAGTAATAAATCTTTATCGAAATCCTGGACAAGATTCAGGAAAGCAAGAACAAGAAGACAGCAATTAACAAGTCGAACGAGAACAGATAAAGTCAAGACACAATATGAATACACTGAAACAAACAAGCAAGTGAAGAAGAGCACTAGAGCCGACAAGCAGAAATACGTGGAAGAGCTAGCAACGACAGCGGATAAAGCTGCAACATAAGGAAATATGAGACAACTGTATGATATGAAGAAGAAACTAGTAGGGAAATATAGTAAACCAGAGAGACCAGTCAAGGACAAAGAAGGCAAGCCAAGCCAATCACTGAGATTCAAGAACAGAGGAATGAATGGATAAAACATTTTGAAGAACTTTTGAATGGACCAGCCCCACTAAACCCACCAGACATCGAGGTAGCACCAACAGACCTTCCTATAGATCTCACTCCACCAACGATCGAAGAAATCAGGATGACCATCAGACAAATCAAGAGTGGGAAATTATCAGGAACTGACAACATACCATCCGAAACACTGAAACCACACATAGAAGTAGTTGCAAACACGCTCCACTTTCTATTCAGGAAGATTTGGGTGGAGGAACTAGTGCCGACACATTAGAAAGAAGGACAATTCATCAAGATACCAAAGAAAGGAATTCTGAGTAAGTGTGAGAACTACAGAGGCATCATACTACTATTGGTACCAGGAGAAATTTTCAACAGAGTGTAGCTGAGCCGGATGTAAGATCCATTAGACGTCCAGCTTCGAGATCAGCAGACCGGATTCCGTAAGGATTGGTCATGCATAGACTAAACAGTGACACAAAGGATCTTCGTTGAACAATCAGCTGAATGGAATTCGTCACTATACATCAAATTCATTGATTATGAGGAGGCGTTTGACAGTGTAGATAGGGGGGCTATATGGAAATTTGTTTGACACTATTGTGTATCTGAGGTGGTCGTCAACATCATCCAGAATTCATACGATGAACTACACTGCAAAGTGGTGCGTGGAGGACAGCTGACAAACTCATTCCAAGTGAGGACCGGTATCAGACAAGGCTTTTAACTCTCCTCCCTTCTCTTTCTTCTGATGATCGACAGGATTATAAAGATCTCGAAATCTGAAGGAAAACACGCAATATAGTGTACACCTCGGAATCAGTTAGAAGATTTGAACATCGCAGATGACCCGGCCCTTCTATCCGAAACACTTAACAAATGCGGATGAAGACAACTATTGTGACAGTAGCTCTGGAAGATGTGAAATCTTTCACGTTTCTGGGCAGCATCATCGATGAACGTGGAAGATCTCGTGCAGACGTAAAGGCATAGATTGGTAAAGCAAGGGTCTCATTCCTAAAGTTGAAGAACATATGGAACTCAAGAAACTGTTAACTTACATCAAAGTCAGAATCTTCAATACGAATGTCAACACAGTACTTGGAGAACTACCACAATCATCATCAAAAAGGTAAAATTTTGTACTGTCTATTAACTGTCTACTTAGGATACTCGATGTCCGTTGACCAGATACCATCAGCAACAGCATGCTGTGAGAGAGGACAAACTAACTTCCAGCTGAAGAAGAAATTAGGAATAGACGTAGGGAGTGGATAGGACATACATTACGAAAATCACCAAACTGCATCACGAGGCAAGCGCCAACTTGGAATACTGAATTGGGACGGAAAAGAAGAAGACCGAAAAACACACTACTTCGGGAATCGGAAGCAGACATGGAAAGGATGAA